CAGTAGAGCCAAAATCTTATTTAGAAACAAACCAATCATCCATTTCTCCATCATCACTAGTGTTACCAAGAAGCTCAATCTTTCTCCGATCATAATAACATCTTGACTCTGTTCCCTCCTCCTTAATCTTATCATCATCATCTTTTGCTCTAGACCCATTGCTTCTCATCTCCAACTTCCATTGCTCTCTCTTCTCTACACTCCTTGAAACATTACTTCTCCCTCCAACCACTGGAAACCCCATTAATCCATCTTCTTCTTCTACATTGCATCGTTTTTCACTATCTTCTTCTACAAAACTCCAACTCTTTGAAACTCCGCTGTCACGATCAGCAACAGTCTTTGAATCCAGTGTGACGTTTGGAGCCTTTTGTCTCTTGTGATCACACTTCAAACATATCGAGTTTCTTCTAAAGTTGATGTAATTGCACCTGATGATGTATAGAAAACGTTATCAATTTCCAACAAGGAAAGTCACATTTTTTAAAGTCTTTTAAGATTTAAGGTTTAGGAATGATGATGACTCACGACTCGCACTCCCACTCTCCCGGGTTGATTTGACGCATTGATGGCTTGTCTTTGCACCTTAAGCATCTCGTGTTTTTCGCAAAGTTCAGGAAATTGCATCTGCGCCAATAAAATGGAAAGTTCAGGAAAGCATCTCGTGTTTTTAATCAGATCAGATCACTGACTGATGAAACTGTAAAAAGATGTCCTCACGTTTGGCATATCCAATCTCCTTTCTTTAGTGGAAGATGATCTTTCTGTTCTTCCTTCAACTGTTTCAGCCTTTCCTCAGAAAAGACATCACACTGCAAGCATCTTATGTTTTTCGCAAAATTTAGGAACTTGCATCTGCCAAAACAAGAATGGTTCATAACAAAGCAGAGCCCAAAGATTAGCATTCGTGAATCTAAATCATTAATGTTCTTATCAACGATGCATAAAGATTACTTACTCTGTACAATGCCAATCCCCTGGCCTTTTCCGCGGGTCTCTCTCATTAATTTCCTGTGAATTTGGCTGGAGCTCATCTCGAGCTGTCTCAGTCTCAGCAGATTCAACATCTTTTAAGCTATACTCAACGCTTTCTCTCAGCAACTTCCTCACAGAATCTTCAACAAATTTGGTTTGACAGGCACGGTTCTCCACACTAGGAGAAATGGAATCAAGCCCGTAAGTTAGCAGTATACGCATGACATCTATAGTTCGAGCACCTTCCTCTTCTCGTGCTTGCGCATACGCCCTTTCACATTTCCCTCTCAAGTTGCAAGAACCACACACCTACTAAGTAAATGTTTTAAGCTTAGTGAAGTAAGTTTCCAAGTGAAACCTCAGCCAAAAAAAGAGATTAAACTATCTGACTATAAAGAAGAAAGCAACATAATGAGTAATGCATACATTTCCTTCATCGATGCCGACATATGCTCTTATACGTTTTCCAGAGTTCACAACCTTCCTGTCAGTGCTAGGACAACCACACCCAGCAATCACTTTGATATCTTTCTTCGACAAGTATCTGTAAGTAAAACAGAGTTCACCCAACGTGTTATTCTCTGTATGTTCGGCATTTAGTCGAACACCTGGTGTGCATATCTGGTATCATCACTCACATAAGCGATTTAAGGAACAAGAATCATACGCTTATCCAGAAACAAACTTCTTCATCAGATACAGATAAAACCCATATTCGCATACGGAATAAAGTCAAAAGCTTTGGATTTGAAACAATCGGCATTACCTCACAAGAGTGAAACGATGGCGAGCAAAATTGAGGCAAGCAGTACGAATATGATTCGATTCTTTGGAACTCATCAATGGATTCAAACTTTCTCCGAAGTAACCTTTCTTCACAAGCATCCCCATCAAATCCAGCCACTCGAGCCATGGGTGCGAGCTTGGATCAGCAGCCAGAAAACTTGGTCTAGCGATCTCTGAGTTCTGGGTTTTAGCCAGACAGTGGATATGCGCAATGGACTTGACTGGTCTTGAGTACACAATGATTCGATGGAAGAATCCATGATCGGTCTTGAAGAATCTCATCGTGAGGAATTAGTTTCTTTAAGCGAAGAGTTTTGGCGGGTAAAAATGACAACTTTTATCACGAGCTACTCTTATTTTTTTGGAGAAACCAGACAAATTTAATCCATATTTTTTTAGCAATCTAACCAAAATTGAGATATGTGGAGAAATGATAGCCACTAAATCTTAAATAAATTGGTTAATTTTTTGAATTATAATTTTTTTTTGGCCATTGATGCTAATTTTCCTTACATTAATTAAAAAAAAAACTTGTTTACATCAAATGCTTATTTATTCTGAATTTCAGAATAAGAAAAGTGAAAAATATTTAACAATCTATTATGAGGTAGCAACCCGCATATTAATACCCCTTCTCGTATCGTTAGTCTCTTTTAATCAACAAGGGTTGGTTCCTCACTTGCTAGTCGATTTTTGTCTCAATAGTCGAATAACAAATTAACCATACTATTAAAATAACCATACTCTTAAAATGCATTTAACATATTAACATACAAGGTTTTGCGGCCATGTATGTAAGAAGAAAACACGAATTCATTTACTAGGTGTTGGAGTAAATTGAACCGGAAATAAAGAAGCAAACCGGAAATAAACTCTGTTGGTTTACGTTCTGTTTTAGGTGGAGAACGTGTCTACTGTTAAGACCGAGTCTTAAGGTGTTTTGAATTGTTCTGTTTTGAGCCTTGAGTAGTAGTAGGAGTATTCAGTTTGTAAGGCTATATAATGCCATTGATTTCATTATCAAGAGGGTATGTTTTCAGCATCAAATCTCTATAAGCACTGCATATCTCTTCA